GTTTTTTTACTTATAATAGAAGTTACCAACCAAAATATATTTGTTTTATTCTCAAGAGGTTATATTTTTATGAGTCTTCCAGTAATTTGAACAGTTTATCATTATGTTTGTATTAACTATTTCTCTGCTATATATACACATAAAGAATTATTCCAATGCCAGGTTTATTTTTAGGTACACAATAAGAAGTGAAAAGACCTTTTTAATATGTCATTACTTATTTGAAACTTGATACTGCTAACATTTGGAAAGAGTGAAGGGAAGATCCTAACTCACATGGCAATGCTTTAGAAGGGGTACTTGTATGTGCCCATTGTAGTAAAAGAGTTAAATAGTTAATGTGAAGTTTGCTTGTTGTGTAAAAACTGGTGTACCAATATATGTACATTGCCCCAGTTTATTAAATGCTCTAAACCTACTACACTTTTACTGATCAACATCATTAGCATGACAGAGAAACAGCATGGTTTAACCAGTCAGCAATCCTACAGTTTAGTATATACTTTACAGGTGATAAAGGAAGTATTGAAAGATAAACTCCATCATTACATGTGTCTAATGATGAAAGTTCCAACTTTCCATATTTAAATTACTAGCATTTTTTTTAAGCAAACTCAAAACAAGAAAGAATTTTTATCCTGTTCCTTTTCGTTTGCTTTTAATATACATACAAAAATTCCTTTTCTTCTTATAGTTACTTACAGCTGATGGTGGAATATTAGAGGCAGATGTTGTTTTCCAGTACTGTGTGATAGATGTTCAACGGTGTGTACTAAGAGTTCAAGAACTACACAGAGCAATGGAGCAATTGGCTAAACAAGGACTTATCAATTTACTTAGTCAGAAAGACATGATTGACATCACAAAACAGAAGAAAAGTTTAGAGACAGATGTTAAGGTAACAGTTTATTTCTGTTTGAGATAACATTTCAGTTGTTTTGGTAACTTAACCATTAAAATGGGCATATATATCCTTTAGTCTATTCACACTCATAACATTTGTTTTTCAGACTAAGATAAATTCATTGTATACTTTTAGTTAGGTCATTTGATAATTTCCCAACTGTTGCCAACTCGCTTTACAGTGTCCTATAGCTATGTGTTTATGTCTTTTAATTTAAAAATATGCATACAAAATTTGGGCCACTCACTTAGTACGAAAAACAATTATGGATAGTGTAGCTATTACAAATCTGAAGCTACATTTAAATCAACAACATTCTGCATAACCGCTTCTCTTCATTCTGAGAGTTGTTTAATTTATTTCACGGGAAATATTTTAACTTAACTCTATATGCGAAAATAGCTTTCTTAAACACTCTGACATTTTCAAAGCACACAACTCCTTACATTCATATTCACTGCTTTGTGAAGTTATAAGAACTTGTCTAGGACTACATTTAAGACAGTTCTCCATCCAGTAGTTCTCTGCCATATGTTTGCATATATAGACGTAGATTTTATCAATGATATCAGCATGTACATTTTTTGTCAGGCGAAAAATATTATTTTTTTTATTTCATTAAGAATAAGTAAACAAGCAGATAATCTAATAATGTACCTAATCAGGTACCTGATGATGACAAAACCTTGTCGAAAAGGTTGTACATTTGCTGTTATGTTAAATTTAT